TGTAGGCATTCCCCAAAGTGAATGATGATTAAAAAGTACAAAGTTTGCCAATTAAAACTCCTACCAGTAGTGTACACAGTTTTCCAACATCCTCAGGAACATGGTAAATTATCAGACTTTGAGATTTTTGTCTATATGAGAGACAAAAATGTATAACCTTTTTACAAGGGCATCTCAGGAAAGCTTACGTTTGTATTTCTAGCAAAGTTGAACATATTTTCATCTAAGAATCATATAATACTTTTAAACAGTTGCTTTTCTTGAAAATGGTTGTCAAACATTATCCAACACTGTAGACCTGAAGTAAGTAAAAGCGAGAGTGGAATGAATAAATCAAATATAAGTGTAATGTAAAAATCTAATTTTAGTCAATTCTTTCTACTTTATTTACTTATGCATGCATGCTGAGGATTAAATTCAAAGCCTTGCACATGCTAAGCATGTGCTTTACCACTGAACTGTACCCCTAACAAGACATCTTACTTTTACTCAGTTGTGACTATGATACTTGCTACAGGAGGCTAAGATCTGAGATCACAGTTTGAAGCCAGTCTGAGCAGTGAAGTCTATGAATAGAGTCTTATCGCCATTTAACCACTAAAAAGCCAGAATAAAGCTATGATGAAAATGGTAGAACATCAGCCTTAAGCAAAAAGCTAAGAGACAGAGCCCAGGGCCCCAGTACTGGCATACACAAAAAGAAAAAGAAAAAAGAATATGCCAGGAGCCAGTGGCTCACATCCGTAATCCTAGCTACTCAGGAGGCAGAGATCTGAGGATTATGGTTCAAAGCCAGCCTAGACTGGAAAGTCTGTGAGACTCTTATCTCTAACAAACTACTCAGAAAAGGCTGGAAGTGGCTTTGTGGCTCAAGGACAGTGCCCAGGCCCTGATTTCAAGCCCAAGAAAGAAAGAAGGAAAGAAAAAGAAAGAAGGAAGGAAGGAAGTAGGAATGAAGGAAGGAAAGAAAAGACAGAAAGAAAGCAAACGAAACAAAGAAGGAAAGATATGAGAACCTTCACTGTAATGAGTCTCTAATTTATTACATTATCTGTGTTCTCACCATAAACCACTTAAAATGTACTGTGAGACAAGAACTAAATAAATACAGATAAATCTTATTTACAATGGAGTTAAATTTCAAAAAATTCATCATAAGTTAAAATATCAAAAATGAAAAATTTATTTAATATACTTAAACTACCAACCATCATAGCTCAACAACTTAGTACACTGTAGTTTTTCTTCATGATCATATCAGTAGCCCAAGAAAAGATAAAATTCAAAGAACAGTTTCTTTTTTGTTGTTGTTTGTTTTTCAGTTGTGGGGCTTGAACTTGGCGCCTTGGCCCTGTCCCTGAGCTGTTTTTGTTCACGGCTAGCATTCTGGTGGTTAATTGGAGATATGTCTCATGGACTTTCCTGCCCAGACTGGCTTCTAACCATAATCCTCAGATCTCAGCTTTCTAGCTGGGATTACAGGCGAGAGCCACTAGCATCCAGTTTAAAAGTACAGTTTCTATTGATACATACTGTCTTTGTACCCTTGTAAAGTAAAAACTCATTAAGTTGAACCATAGTGATTCGAGAGTCACCTATGCATGGAAAAAGGCAAGTAAAATTTCTCTAGAAAAAGAAAGATGTCATTGCTCATAGAAAAAACACATTTTGGGGCTGGGAAGATGGCTCAGTGGTAGAGTGCTTGTCTTGAATGCATGAGGCCCTGGCATCGATTCCTCAGCACCACATAAGCAGAAAAGCTAGAAGTGGCACTGTGGCTCAAGTGGTAGAGTGTTAACCTTGAGCTAAAGAGCTGAGGGACAGCGCCCAGTCCCAGAGTGCAGGCCCCACAACCAAAAAAACCAATTCTTTGATTAGTGAAAAAAACTTTTTGTATTGCAGAATGAAAGTTCTGTTTTTAAAATTAAAAATATTCTTTGTTTCTTTCCTATGTTCTTCCCTATTGGTATAACCCTGTTTTCACTTTATTTGATTCCTGTACCCTGTATCTTATATATACATTTTTCTAATTTGGAGAGAGGAAGGGAAATAACAAAAACTGAAACAAGGATACAGGCTAACCCATTGTAACAATGAGATGTACAAGACACTATGTTAAAAACAAATTCTACAACTTAGGGGTGGGGGGGGGCGGAGAAGGGAGAATTGGGGAGGTAGGGAGGAAAGGGATGGCTGGGGAAAAACAAAGGAGGGGGTAATAATGTTCAAGAGGAAATGTATGCATTACCTTACTCATGTAACTATAACCCCTCTGTACAATATCATTACAATAAAAAATATTTTTCAAAAATACGTTGTTTTCAAAAGGAAAAATCTGGAGGTAGAAGTGTGGCTCAAGTGGTAGAGGGCCAGCTTTGTGTGAAAAAGCCAAATGAGAGCATGAGGCCCTGAATTCCAGTCCCTGTGACATCATTAAAAAAACAAAAACAAAAAACAAAAGCAGCAGCCAGGCACTGGTGGCTCACACCTGTAATCCTAGCAACTCAGGAGACTGAGACCTGAGGATCACAATTCAAAGTCAGCCCAGGCAGGAAAGTCCATGAGACTCTCATCTCCAATTAGCCACCTGAAAACTGGAAGTGGAGCTGTTACTCAAAGTGGTAGAACACTAGCCTTGAACAAAAAAGCTTGGGCATAGTTTCTGGGCCCTGAGTTCAAGCCCTACAACCGACCAAAAAAAGAAAGAAAAACAATCTGCTAGGTCCCCATGACTCTACCTGTAATCCTAGCTGTTCAGCAGTCAGATCTAGAGGATGGTGGGTGATTCAAACCATGATGAGCAGAAAAGTCTGATAAATGCCATCTCAAAAACAAAAAACCAGCAAAAATCATGGCCGGAGGTATTGCTTGAGTGATAAAGTGCAAGCAAGTTGAGCAAGGGTAAGGCCTTGAATTCAGACCCCAATACAACCAGAAAAAAGAAGAAAGTATATTTACTGAAGGCTAGAAAAATAGCTCCATAGTAGAGCACTTGTCTAACATGTTAAGTGTTTATCTTTTCATGTCACACACTCTCTAATTTTTTAACTAGTAAGATAAAAGAATCGAGAGTAAATTAAAATGTTTTTTCTTTTTATTCAAAATAGCACTAGTTTCCTTGTGTCAACCTTAGTGTTCTTTACCTTTTGAAGTGTTGACTTTTGACTATCCTTCTCTGCATATACCATTGGGTATCTCGTTAGCAAGGTTGTCTCAATGAATAGATTCCAGAGATGTGGATGAGCCCTGCGGAACTCAGAAAGGAATATCTATAATTTTTTAAACTAACTTGATTTTCTTAAATATCAGGTTTGCAGTGCCTGGATAGCAAGTGGAGTTGTAAGTGATCTTAATGATCTCCGAAGAGTTCATCAGTTGCTTGTTTCATCATTAACAAAAATACAGGCTGGAAAAGAAGCTTTAAGTCACTTATATAATGAAAGTGCTTCTACCATGGAGATCTTAGCTGTGCTGAAAGCCTGGGCAGAGGTTGGTACTTTTTAATTTATAATGGAAATTCTGGAAGTTGTTATAAACAATCTTAGGTCAACAACTGAAATTTGAGATTTTGTGTGTATGTGTGTTGATGGGGAGGGTATGTGTTTGTTACCCAGGGTTTTGCTCACATTGAGCAAGTATTCTACTTCTGCACTACAGCCCTACCCCTTGGCTTATTTATCAGTTTATTGCTTTCCTAAATACAGGGCCTGGAGGCCAGTCTTTAGCTTTTCCACTCAAAGCTGGCACTTTATCACTCGAGTCACATATCCAATTCTGGCTTTTTGTTTGTTAATTGGAGATAAAAGACTTCATTAACTTGACTGCTGGGTCTAGCTTCAAACCAGAATGTTCACATCTCAACTTCCTGAATATCTAATATTACAGGCATGAGACACCAGTGCCTGGCTATTATTTAATAAGTGTTCACAAACATTTCAGTTCAGAAATGGCTTTCTATAGCTATGTTTAAATTATTAGACTATAATCTACAGAATGCTTCAATCAGTTATTTGTAACTGCCCAAGTTCAAGAATAGAATAGCACCATATTTACCAGTTATTTATTATCCCTGATGCATCTTCTAGCATTCAACCAAAGTTTTGTATGTGTGACTATTTCTACATGTGTGCTTTTTTATATCATAAAGTATAGTTTAGTATGTTAAGTATGTTTAGTATGTTAAGTCTGCCTTTTCAGAAAATGTAAAAATATTATCATACATTTTCATCAGATATAACATTTTATAACTTATAAATTAATCTTTAACAGGTATACATAATTGCTGTTCAAAGACATAAAAACCACAAACAAATTTCAAAGCCTACCACCTGTTTAGAAGGACTTCTTGAGTTAGTCTATACAGACCTTGGCACACTAAGCAAACTCTGGCTTGCTGCACTTCAGGATTTTGCTCTCTTAACTTTGCCTTCAGAATTTGCCTCCCAACTTCCTGATGAAGGTAAGGAAGTAAAATAATCATATATTTCAAATTTTCATAATTTCTCTGTTACCCAATAATTTTTATCCAAAACATTTCTTTCCAATCAATTTTCATATACTGGATAAGCATCTAAGTGTTGATTTAGAGTAGATTCCAGAAGTTAATTCACAGAGTCATAAGAAATGCACATCTTATTTCCCACACACTACCAAATTACTCTTGAAAATGGTTTGAACAGTGTGTATGCCTACCAGCAACATGTTTCTGCTTCTTCACATGATATATGAAATATATTTTTTGCTAATCTAGTGGGTATAAAATAGTATTTCATTTTAAATTTTATTTCTTTGAAAGTCATATCTCCATAAACTAATGGTAATCACATCTTCATAAACTAATGGTAGTTGTTTTCTTCCACAAATACTGTAATCATAATCTTTACCCATTTTCAATTTTAAAGTCCTTTTACTGATTGAGTATTTTTTTGGGGGGGGGGGGGGGGGTTAATCGTGAGGCTTGAACTCTGGGCCTGGGCTCTAGCCCTCAGCTCTTTAGCTCAAGGCAAGTGCTCTACCACTTGAGCCAAAGTGCCACTTCTGGTTTTCTGAGTGGTTTATTGGAGATAAGAGTCTTGAAGACAAGAGCTGGGAAGGTGGATCAGTGGTAGAGTGCTTGCCTTGCATGCCTGAGGCCGCCCTGGGTTCAATTCCTCAGCACCACATAAGCAAAAAGAAAAAAGCCGAAAGTGGCGCTGTGGCTCAAGTGGGAGAGCGCTAGCCTTGAGCTGAGGGACAGCGCCCAGGCCCAGAGTTCAGGCCCCACAACCGGACCTAAAAGAAAAAAGTCTTGAGGACTGTTCTGCTGTGGCTCAGATCTTAGCCTCCTGAGTAGCTAGGATTACAGGTGTGAGCCACTGGCGCCTGGCCCTGATTGAGTAATCTTTATATATGTACATATTAACACTGTTCCTTTTTGGTGTGTCTTGCATATATTTCCTCCTAGTCTATAGCTAGGAGGAATGTAGTTTGTTTAATGTAGTTTGTTACTATACTTTGTATTTTTGTATATTGCTTGACACATTTTTTTCTTAAGATGACAAAGATCTATAACCTTTACAGTTTTGCCTTTCATGTTTTGAACATTAGTTGAATTAGAATTTATTTTGCAAGTATGTAATGGGAATAGGGACTTGACTTATGCTGGTTACTAACTCCACATTTTTTGTGTTGGGTAGTTGATTGCTACTCTTAATATTCTGTTATTTCAGGTATTTTGTCTATTACTATTTACTTCTGGTATATATTTTAGATTGGGCCTATCACTTTCTAATATTTCTGTTCTATTCTTTGAAATTACTTCCAAAGAGATCGGTAGAATATTTATTATACTTTACATTGCATAAAATGTAAGCAAAATGGAAATAAGCTGATTTATTGAAACAGTTTAACAGCAAAAAATGAATGATAGACATCTTTTAACATAAGTAAATCTTAGGTTAAGAGGGAAAAAAACAAGTTGCAAGGAGATGCATAAAATATAATACCTTTTAAGTAACAACATTATAAATATAAACACTGTTGACAAAGTGTAAGAGCATACTTAGACATGATTCATCTGAGGACACTGGTTATGGGAAGAGAGACAAAATTTGTCATATTAAAATTTTTTAGGGTTTTGTTGTTCTTTTTTTAATTTTTTAATTTTATTATAAAAGTAATATACAGAGGGGTTATAGTTACATAATTCAGGTAATGAGTACATTTCCTTTTGGACAGTGTCACCTGCTCCATTCTCTCCTAGTTTTCATCCTTCCCAACTTCCCTCCCCCCAAAGTTGTATAGTTCATTTCCAATATAGTGTCTCGTGAGTATCACTGCTAAATTGGTTTACCTTTTGTCCCACAGTTCTGTGCTTCCCCTTCCCATCTCCAAACCAGATACACTTATATACAAGACACTTATATATACTTAAATACAGAAATAAAAAACAACAACAAAAGGGAATAATCGAAAGAAAAAAAGGGAAAAGAAGAACCACAAACAGTACAATAAAAAATTTCTTAATCCCATTTCTTGGAGCTCATTTCGATAAGCATCATTTTATACAATCGTATGCACACAGCTATTGAGCCCTTGTGATCGTCTCCTAAGAATATCCTCCTTTGTTCTCACTCTGAATGCTTAAAGGGCTATTTAATTAATCATGTCCAAGGGTAATTATTTGTCTTTTACTATCCATTGAATTTACTTGTAGATTTATAGTCACATTCTAATTATTACAAGGAAAAAAATGAGAGAGATTTAAGGAAGTAAGGTAAAATGTTAATGTCAGTCTTGGAGATAGGTAAATGTATTATTGCTATTTGTTTTAAACATGTATACATTGTTTTAGATACACACTTTTTAAAAATATTTGCTGATCAGATTACAGAATATTAAGATTTAACTTCAGATTTCCTATAAGGTTAAATATAAATCAGCAAGGTTAAATATAAATCAGCAGGTAACCCAACAATTGTGCTCCTAGAAAAAAGAAAAGCACTGGTAACAAAATCTTAATTGTATGGCAGCATGAATGAATCTCAAAAGATTTTACAAGGCAAATAAAGCACACAAATACACACTGTTGATAAGATTAGCTTCACATAAACTCTAAGAGCAGACAAAATTCACCATACCTGATAAAAACCTAAAAATAGTTGCCTTGGAGCACAGGGGAAACAAGGGTATGAGTAAACTTTCAAGAATGATGCAAATGGTCACTTGTGTAGCAGAGAAAAGAGAAAAAATATTGGAAGCTAATTTCTTCTTCCTTTCCTTCCAAAACTGCTTCCTTTTTCCCCATTCATAGGTGGTGCTTTCTACACGGCAGAGACTAGCGAAAATGCAAAATTGCATTATCACAACTCCTGGGCACTCATCCTCCATGCTGCAGCTTTGTGGCTGACAGGCACAGGTTTTGCTGTTGCTGAGCCAGATGAAGGCACAGCTAATCTCTCCAGGCCTGTAACACCAACTTCCATGTGCCAAGACTCATCATCCAAGGCTACAGTGAAGTCCCCTGAGGATGTCTACACTGATAGGTTCCATCTAATTTTAGGTCAGTAAAACAGTGTATAAGCAACTGGGCACCATTGGCTCACAGCTGTAATCCTAGCTACTCAGGAACCTGAGATCTGAGAATTGCTATTTGAAGCCATCTCAGAGGAGAGTCCTTGAGACAGTTATCGCCAGTTAACCAGAAAAAAAACCAGAAGTAGAGCTGTGGCTCAAGTGATAGAGCACTTGCCCTGAGCAAAAAAAGCTCAAGGATAGTGCCCAGGCCTTGAGTTCAAGCCCCAAGACTGGCACCAAAAAAAAAAAAAAAAAAAAAAAGTTTAAAAGATGAAAGTCCTTTTAGAGTTATTCTTGAGTTATACCTTATTGCCTATCTCCTAAGTAACTGTTAACTTATTCTATGCTGGATGATAATGATAGCATTGATATAACTAGGTAAGCACATTTGTAAAAATGATAATTTTTTATGGAACTCGTTTGCCTTGTGTTTGCTAGACAAGTACTCTGCACCCCTAAAAATGTTCATATGAGCTAGAATCTTATTACAAGTTGGCTTCAGTATCAAGTGGAATAAATTAAAGGAATTATAGGAGAAGCCTAGTTATTTTATTTCTGTACAGTTGTGTAGATGATGTGTGTGTGTGTGTGTGTGTGTGTGTGTGTGTGTGTGTGTGTGTGTGTGTGTGTGTGTGTGTGTGTGTACTGGGGCTTGAACTAAGGCCTCATGCTCTGGGCTTTTTCATACATAGCTAGTACATGAGTCATACCGCCAGTCTGAAATTTTGTTGATTAATTGAAGCTAGATTCTTGCAGACTTTTCTGCCCAGGCTGCCTTCAAAACAAGGTTATGTAAACTGAGATCTCAGCCTCCTCTGAGTAGCTATGATTGATTTTACTTGCTGTTCATTTTGTTTGGTTTTTGTTGGTTTTGTTTTTGTACCATTTGAATCATGCTACCAGATTTTGTTTTATTTATTTTATAACACAGTTGGCCTCAAATTCAAGATCCCTCTATATCTGCCTCCTGAGTGCTGGGATTGCAGAAATGTACCACCAAGCCCAGCTTTCCTTTTTTTTTTTTTTGTCAGTTATGTTGCTTGACTCTGGGCTTGAGTGTTGTCCCTCAGCTCTTCAGCTCATGGCGAGTGCTCTACCACTTGAGCCACAGCACCACTTACAGTTTTCTGGTGGTTTGTTGGAGATAGGAGTCTCACAGACTTTCCCGCCCAGGCTGGCTTTGAACTATGATCCTCAGATCTCAGCCTCCTGAAGAGCTAGAATTACAGGCATGAGCCACCAGCGCCTGGCTTCCACATGATTTTTAATAGATCCATGTGGTATCTATAAATGTTCTAAATTTCTCAGTATACACATAAAAAGTCAATGCTAAGAGATTCTCCCTCTCGTTTTCAACATTTTCAAGTTTCAAGAATGTATGCCCAGTAATATATAATTCTAAGCAAATTCTAATGCCCAGAGATTAATAATAGAATTTTCAGATTCATGAAGTTTACTCCATATTTTAGCTTTTCTAGCACTTCTTTAATTTTTGATAGTATATTCGGGATTGAACTAGGGCCTCACACATGCCAAGAAGGGAAGGGGCTGTACTATAAAATGTGTTATCTTTCTGGAATAATACACTGAACTTCTAGAATAAATGGAACAAGTTTTTTATGTCTAACCTAGCTCAAAGAAAAACTGTAAGTGCATTACATATAGAGAGTTATTGATTAAATGAAACATAAATGTTATCAAGGTAAATGGTTGTTGGGCATGGTGGCTCACATCTGTAATCCTTACCAATCACTTGGATATCAGGAGGAGTGAGATTCAAAAGCACCCAAGGCAAAAGGATAAAAAGACCCCTTTCTCAAGAAATAAGCCCCTTTTAATAAACAAAAAAGCTGGGCTTGTTTAGTGACCCACAACTTTTAATCCAAGTTTACAAGAAAAGTATAGGTAGAAGGATCTTAACCTGAAAAAGAGCACACTTACCTGAAAAATAATAAAAACAAAAGGACTGAGGATATGACTAAAATGATAGAGGGCTTACTTAGCAAGTTTAGAGCCGTTAATTCAAACTTCAGTACAATCAAACAATAAATACATAAATGTAAACTATCAAGTTAAGATTTATGATTGATACAATCTCTATGAAACTTTTAAGGGCATAAAAGCATTGCTCAGTGGCAGTACTTTCCTTACGTGTAAAACCCTGGGATTGATTCTTAGCATTGCAAAGGAAAAAAAATGGTTGGTTGTGGGGCTTGAACTCTAGGCTTGGGCGCTGTCCCTAGCTCGTGAGCTCAAGGCAAACACTCTACCACTTGATCCACAGTGCAACTTCCTGTTTTCTGGTGGTTAGGTTAATTGGAAATCAGAGTCTCATGGACTTTCCTGCCCAGGCTGGCTTTGAACCATGATCCTCAGATCTCAGCCTCCTAAGTAGCTAGGATTATAAGCATGAGCCACTAGCACCCAGAAAAAAAATTTTAATTATAAGAAAACAAAAAACAAGAGCTGGCAGGTGACACCTGTAATCCTCACTACTCAGGAGGCTGAGATCTGAGGATCAAGATTTGAAGCCAGACTGGGCAGGAAAGCCTGTGAGATTTATCTCTAGTTAACTACCAAAAAAGCCAGAAATGGAGCTGTGGCTCAAGTGGTAGAGTACAAGACTAGAGCAAAAAAGTTCAGGGACAGTGCCCAGGCCCTGAGTTCAAGCCCTAGAACCAGCACAAATATTAATTAAATAAGGCTGGGAAGGTGGTTCAGTAGTAGAGTACTTGCCTTGCATGCATGAGGCCCTGGGTTCGATTCCTCAGTACCACATAAACAGAAAAGACCAAAGTGGCGCTGTGGCTCAAGTGATACAGCGATAGCCTTGAGCTGAAGAGCTCAGGGACAGCACCCAGAGTTCAAGTCCCATGGCCGACCAAAAAAATTTTTTTTTAATTTTTAAAAAGTTAGTTAAATATTTAGCTAGGCACTGGCTGCATGACTCTTTCCTATGTCCTAACTACTCAAAAGCCTCAAATCAGAAGTTCAAGGTTCAAAGCCAGTTCTCACAAACAGATCTGTGAGGCTCATATCTACAGCAAAAAGCAGAAAGTGGCATTGTGACTCAGTTGGTAGAGTGCCAGCCTTGAGAGTAAAGGCTATGAAAAAGTACAAAGCCCTGAATTCAAGCCCCAGTACCATCACCAGAAAAATGTTAAAACTTAGATAAATTACTTTGGTTCTCTATACTGATTTCCCTGTCTCCAAATAAGCAGAAATAAGTTAAGGGTATATCAAAGCCTGGTTTGCTCAAGATTTTGGTTAGTTTCAGCACTGCTAAATGCCCCCTTTCAAAAAAACAAAATTGAGAACTAGCGTTAATAGCACCTCTTTCATTAGGTATTATAATAATGTAGCAAAATGACTTATGTAAAACACCTTGTTTGATCCATGATAACCACATTTTAGTTGGAATAAAGCTGTAAAAGCCTAAATGTTTAAGTTCTGTGGAACAATTTTATTATTTTTTCCAACTTTGAACTATTTTATAGCAACTAAGCAATTTGTACACAAGTCTGCATGAGTTTGTATGTGTGTGTGTATAAATAACAGTTTTTAAAGACTTTCCTTAATTGTTTGTAGTCTTAAATTTACAGTAGTATATTACCTTTTTGCTAAGCTTATTTGTGTCTCTCAGAAAAATAGAAATTGATCATTTAACTTAATAAACTAAAAATCTAAAAAAAACCTTCCGTTTTCTTTTCCACAGGCATCAGTGTGGAATTTCTGTGTTCATTACGCTCGGATGCAACCATGGAAAGCATTACTGCTTGTTTACATGCATTGCAGGCCCTTCTGGATGTTCCTTGGCCAAGATCTAAGATTGGCAGTGATCAGGTAGTTTCTTGCTTTTGTTAGACTTCTGTAGATTTCAAAAAACAGAAACATATTCAGGTTACTATGTTGAACAGAAAGTAAACAAAGAAGTAAAAAGATAAAAAATCAGTTGTATCATCAGGCATTTGAACTGGAAAACCATCAGCACTCTGGTGACCCAGGAGTGATTTATGTCTTATATCCCATTTTTTCAAGAGAAAATTTCAAGTTCCATGTAGTTCCTACTTATAGCAAAGTATTCTTGTTGGCTGGATTCTCCTTTCAGGTCTTTTTTTTTTTTCTTTTTTTGTCAGATGTGGGGCTTGAACTCGGCCTGGGCACTGTCCATGAGCTTTTCAGCCCAAGGTGAGCACTCTACCATGTGAGCCACAATGCCACTTCCGGTTTTCTGGTGGTTAATTGGAGGTAAGAGCCTCACAGACTTTCCTGCCCAGGCTAGCTTTGAACCATGATCCTCAGATCTCAGCCAGAATTACAGGCATGAGCCATCAGCACTTGGCCCCTTCAAGTCTTTTTAAGAATCTGTTTCTGAAGCCAGGAGCTGGTGGCTTGTACCTTTTATCCTAGCTACTCAAGAAATTGAGATCTGAAGATCAAGGTTTGAAGCCAGCCCGAGGCAGGAAAGTCCATGAAACTCTTTTTTCCAGTTAACCCCCAGAAAAAGTGAAAGTGGAGATGTAGCTCTAGTGGCAGAGTATTAACCTTGAGTAAAAACACTACAGGGGAAAGTGCCCCTTCTCTGAGTTCAAGCCCCAGTGCCTGCACACGTGCCTGCGCGCGTGCGTGCGTGCACGCGCACACACACACATACATATGCGTGAGTGTGCCTGCTGCCTAGCTGGTAGGTTGAGTCTGATACTAATGTCTGACCCATTTGTGGCTATAGTAAAAGATTGCTACATAGTATAGTACTTCTTTGGCTTCTCCCAAGGATAAATATGTATTAGATTGGTGCTCTTAGCCTCATATATTATCCTGCATATTAACTATGTGGTCCTTGACTCAGTGTTAAAGTAAATGAGTAGTATGATTTCTTCTTTATATAGACTATTATTTAACACTATTATTTAAGCCTCATTTATGAGGCTTAAAGCCTTAGTCACCTTCTTATCTGAGTTGAATTGGACTTGAATAAATTGCAGGCTCTTCTCTGCTTGTTTTTTCTGTACAATAAAACAAATATGATGACAGATTTACTCCTGTTATTTTCATAAATTAAAGCAACCAGAGTAATTTTCTTAAAGATAAGGAAAAATGAAATGGTGTTTCTTTGGTATATTTTGTTTAAGAAAGACCCATTTTAGTGACATAATTTTCCTCACTGTTTATTATTCCTAGACATCCTGATTATAAATTGGAGAATCTGCCTGTCCGCCCTTATATTCTTTTATCATCTTGCTTCCATTTTTTTTACTTTCTGGGTTTAGGGCCTGTTGATTATGATCTTTGTCATAGTGACATCTCTTACCAAGATGAGACAAAAAAAAAACATTCTAAAGTTATTTTCAAGTGTTATTACATAACTGTTGCATTAACACCATTTTTATGAGCAATTTGCTAAATTCTGTTTCTGAATTTTGTCATGGCATTTTATTTTATTTTTTATTTTTTTTGGGTCCGGTCATGGGGCCTGAACTCGGCCTGGGCGCTGTCCCTCAGCTCTTTAGCTCAAGGCTAGTGCTCTACCACTTGAGCCACAGCGCCACTTCCGGCTTTTTATTATTTTTTTGCTTATGTGGTGCTGAAGAAGCAAACCCAGGGCCTCAAGCATGCAAGGCAAGTGCTTTACCACTGAGCCACCTTCCCAGCCCTGTCATGGCATTTTAAAATTGTTACTATTTTATCAGAAAAAGAAAATGTATATCATTTCCAATATAGTGTTTACTACATATTTTTCTATGATAGGACTTGGGTATTGAGTTGCTGAATGTTCTACACCGCGTAATTTTGACCAGAGAATCCCCTTCTATTCAACTGGCTTCACTTGAAGTGGTAAGGCAGATTATCTGTGCAGCTCAAGAACATGTGAAAGAAAAAAGACGAAGTGCAGAAGGTAAATGTTAACTCAAAATGCCAAATTAACAGATCAGATATAGGGCCTGAAACACACTAAGCAAGCAATCTTAACCCTGAACCATTGAGCAACATCCCCAGCCCAACATCACTGTTTAAATAATTGCTTAATATCTACTATATATAGGAAAATTGGAACTTAAACTTTTTTTTTTTAAGTGCTAGTAGTAGGGCTTAAACTAAAGACCTCAAGGTCTACCACTTGACCCTCATCTCCAGATCCAGCTTTTTGCTGGTTAATTGAAGTTAAGCATCTCATGGATTTGTTTGCCAAGCCCCAATTCTTTCTCAGCCTCCTAAGTAGCAGGGACTATAGGCATGAGCTGTAAGTATCTAGCTGTTCTTACTTTTTATTTTTGCCAGTACCAGGCCTTGAACTCAGGAGCTTTGAGCTTATTTAGCTTGCTTGCTCACAGCTGGCACCTACCACTTGAGCCACATTTCCAGCCTGGCTTTCTGTGGTTAACTGGAGATGAGTTTGAACCACAGTACTCCAGGTCTTAACCTCCTGAGAAGCTAGAATTTTATGCTTAAGCCATCAAAGCCTGGCCTAAATGCTTTGAATCCTCTCATTCTCTTCTACATGTTAGCTTGGATTTTATCAGTAACCTAGCTACTATTCTTTGGGGAAATGAGAGTGTGTGTGTGTGTGTGTGTGTGTGTGTGTGTGTGTGTGTGTGTGCATACACGCATGTGAGCAGATCCTGGGGTTTGAACTAAGGGCCTGGGCTCTGTGCCTGAGCTCTTTTGCTCAAGGCTAGTGCCACAGTACCACTTCCAGTTTCCTGGCATTTGAAATAACAGTCTCATGGACTTTCCTGCCTGGGCTGGCTTCAAACCATGATTCTCAGATCTCAACCTCCTGAGTAGCTAAGATTACAGGTGTGAACCATTGGCAACTGACTAAATTTTTTTTAATCTATTGCAATACAAAATCATAGCAGCCATGTACTGGTGGCTCATACCAGTGGCTCACACCTGTAATCCTAGCTACTCAGGAGGTTGAAATTTGGAGGATCACAGTTGGAACTCGGCTCAGACAGGAAAATCTCTGAGATCACATCTCCATAAGAACTAGAAAAAAACAGGGATGGAGGAGTGGTTAAGTGGTAGAGCAGTAGCCAAACAAGCAAGCAGAATAAGTTGGAAGCTAAGTTCAAACCTCAGTATCAGAAAGAAAAAAAAAAAAGGAGAAAGACAAATATATATAATAAAAACTATTTCATAGCTGGGTACCCGTGGCTCACGTTTGAAATCCTACCTACTCAGGAGGCTGAGATCTGAGGGTCACAGTTCAAGGCCAACCTGGGCAGGAAAGTCCATGAGACTCTTTATTTCCAATAAACTTCTCAAAAAGCTGAAGTGATGCTGTGGTTCAAGTGATAGAGCACTAGCCTTGAACTCAAAGAGGCTTAGGGATAGCACCCAGGCCCTGAGTTCAAGCTCCAGACTGGCATTAAAAAAAAAATCTATTTTACCTCCATAATCGCTTTCTTCTTTAATTCTTTCACACTAAGATTTTAGTCATTTAAATGTATTACCTATAACAGAAATAGCCATTTGCTAAAAGTAAAAGAAAGCACAAAGTATTTATTAAACATTATTCCTTCTGTCTCATAGTTGATGATGGTGCTGCTGAAAAGGAAACCCTGCCAGAATTTGGAGAGGGCAAGGACACGGGAGGACTTGTGCCTGGAAAGTCTTTGGTCTTTGCAACGCTAGAACTATGTGTGTGCATTCTAGTTAGACAACTCCCAGAACTTAATCCTGAATTGACAGGTAGCTCAGGAGTCAAAGTTACAAAGCCACAGTTGCTGTCAGAAGATGGAAGTAGATTAGTTTCAGCTGCATTGGTTATCCTTTCGGAACTTCCTACAGTGTGCTCTCCTGAAGGTATGTTGTGGTTTGCAACTGTTTGCTTGTCCTGAAAGGAAGAAAAATGTCCTTCATAGATAACGAAATCTAGTTGCTGATTTTTTTTCTCATTATGAGAGAAAGCTGACCCAAACATTTAAGTATTGTTAAAACTGTGAAGTAAATATAAGACAGCAAGTAGTACAGATGTACATGCTCTTCTGTGGTTGATTATTCTTTTTTCCAGTGCTGGGGATTAAATCCAGGGCTTCAAGCAAATTAGGCATGTGCTCTACCACTAAGCTACATTTTTAGCTGAAAATATTTTAAAGTCAGTCAATGGCAATTATTCGGGCTTTAACATGTATGTAGGTGCATGGGTACACTGGTCCTGGGCTTAAACTCAGAAATTGTGTTCTGTCTCTACTTGAGTCATGGTTCTACTTCTGGCTTTTTTTTGGTAGTTAATTGCAGATAAGAGTCTCATGGACTTTGTTGCCCTGGCTAGCTTTGAACCACAATCCTCAGATCTTAGCTTCCTGAGTAGGTTGGATTTCAGACATGAGCCACCAGTGCCCAGCTCTTAACATCTTTTAAATGTATAGTATCTATTGGTCTTTTCCTGCTTCCATGATGACAGAAACTGGTGGTCATATCCAGTTCTTTTTTAAATTAAATATACTGGGCTTTTTTTTTTTTTTTTGGTGCCAGTCCTGAGACTTGAACTCAGTACCTAGGCACTGTCCCTGAGCTTTTTGCTCAAGGCTAGTGCTCTGCCTCTTGAGTCACAGCTTAACTTCTAGCTTTTTGATGGATAATTAGAGATAAGAATCTCAGACTTTCCTGCTCAGTCTGGCTTCAAACCATAGTCCTTAGATTTCAGCATCCTAAGTAGCTAGGATTATAGGTGTGAGCCACTGGCACTCAGCTTTTAACATAAAGCTTTCCACAGGTTTTACTGAGTCCTCTGCCTTTTGCTGATTCCTTCTGTGCAAATCCTAAACCCAAAGGGCTTCATGTTCATTCTTGTTCTATGCTATTGTCCATGCTTTGTTACTTGATTTGAAATGATCCATACCCTTCCTGCCTTTTAAATCTTTTCTTCCTTGAAAGTGTAGTTCTAGTCCTACCTCATCTGTAAAGTCTTCTCTAAAAACCACCTCATACTGAATTTTCTTTGTTCATATATGTCGCTATGTTATTTCTATATGTAGATCTGTGGCTTTTATCTGTCATATAAATTCATTATATAACTGATTATAACACATAAAAGATTTATATAGTCAGGAGCCAGTGGCTCATGCCTGTAAATCCTACCTATTCAGGAGGCTGAGATCTGAGGATCATGGTTTAAAGTCAGCCAGAATAGGAGAATCTGTGAGACTCTTATCTTCAGTTATCTGGCAGAAAGCCTGAAATGGAGCTGTCTCAGTACTGACACACACAAAAGTGTTAATGTATATAGATGTGTCATATGTCCAACTAGAGTGTGTGTGCATGTGCACGCACGTGCGTGTGCGCTCGTGCTTGTTCTAGGGCTTGAACTCAGGGCCTAGGTACTGTCCCTGAGCTTTTTTTGCTGAAGATTAGCACTCTACCACTTGAGCCACATCTTCCACTTTAGCTATTTGGTGGTTAATTGGAGATAAGCATATCACAGGTTTTCCTGTGCCTGCTGGTTTCAAGTCATAATCTTCAAGCTCTCAAGCTCCTTAGTAACTAAGTTTCAGGTATGAGTCACTGGCTCTTGGCTCCAACTAAACTTTCATACCCTACAAATCTAGCACATAAATTTGTCTATGCAATAGATACTTATTAATTGATAATCATATTTCTGCTTAACTGTGCCTTGAACAGTTGCTGTCTTAGCTATTTTTAACCTTCAATTTTAATTAAAAGTTAAGCTTCTTTTTTTTTTTTTTTTTTTTTTTTTGCCAATTCTGAAGCTTGAATTCAGGGCCTGGGCACTGTCCCTAAGCTTCTTTTGATCAAGGCTACTACTCTACCACTTGAGCCACAGCACCACTTCTGGCTTTTTCTGTGGTAATGAACCCAGGTTTTCATGCATGCTATGCAAGCACTCTACCACTAAGCCACATTCCCAGCCCAAAAGTTAGACTTCATGTTATCACATACTGTGCAAGAGTGGCAGAAAAAAATGGCTGTCAGAGGATTAGGGGTAAAAAATATACTCTGAGCTTTTTGTTGAATGTAATTGATAACTTCATTTGGCCTTAACTTTATGGGTGACTTGAATGCCTTTTTTTTTTTAATAGTGTCTTACTGTATAGCTGAAATTAGTCTCAAACTTAGAATCCTATTGCCTCAGCCTCGGCATTGTTAGGATTACAGTATTCTACCACTTTGCCTTGCTCCATTTTTCATACTTATTTTCAATGGTTCTTCACTTGAAAAAGAGTTTAAAATAAATTGAGTAGTCATGATGGTTAGATAACAACACACACACACACACACACACACACACACACAATACCACAAGAATGCACACCTTAATAGTAAAAATGGACCTGGATATGGTGGTATACATTTCTTATCTCAGAATTTAGGAGACTAAAACAGGAGGATCATGAAGTATGAGACCAACCTCCACTGCATATCAAGTTCAGGGGCCAGACTGGGCTATATAGCAAGTCTAGAGTAGATTTACCGAGTGCCACATCAATGAAACAAAGTGATGCAAAATTCTGAGATCTGAGGATCACAGTTCATAGCCAGTCCAGGTAGGCAAGTCTCTGAGACTCTTATCTGCATTTAACTACCAAAAGCTAAAAGAGCTGTGGCTCAAGTTGTAAAGCTGGCCTTGATCAAAAAAAAAAAAAAAAAAATGCTCAGGGACAGTACCCAGGCCCTGAGTTCAAGCCACTGAGCTACACTTTGAGTTCTAAGAAAATAACTCTTACAAGCTAGATAACTCTTACTCATCGATGCCTTTTGGAGGAGGGAAAATGTGTGTGTTTGTATGTATATGTTAAAATCCATGATGTTTTAAATTTTTATTTTACAGGAAGCATCTCAGTTCTCCCTACTATATTATACCTCACAATTGGAGTACTCAGAGAAACTGCTGTGAAGTTGCCAGGGGGCCAATTATCTTCTACAGTTGCAGCTTCCCTACAGGCTCTGAAAGGAATATTATCTTCCCCTATGGCCAGAGCAGAAAAGAGCCATACTGCATGGACTGACCTCCTCCGGAGTGCTCTAACAACAATTCTTGACTGCTGGGATCCAGGTAAATAAAGCTCTTTTGAAGATTTATTAAGTTTGTTTTCAAAAGTAAGGGGAAGCTTGGTGCCAGTGGCTTCCACCTATAATCCTATCTAGTCTGTCGGCTGAGATCTGAGGATCAGTGTTTAAAGCCAGAACTGGAGCTGTGGCTCAAGTGGCAAAGTGCTAGCTTTGAGTAAAAAACTTAAGGCAGAGTACTCAGGCTTTGTACTGAGTCCAAGCCCTAGAACCTGCACAAAAATAAATAAAAAATAAAGGAATTGTGCTTTGATGGCAAGATATTTACTTGATCATATGTGTGTTAGACATATGCATATATCTTAAGATCCTTAAACTTAAATGCAATTGTTGACAGGCAGCCTATATTTTGACAATTGGGGACCTGGAGATAACATGGGTTTTTTGTTTTGCTTTTGTTTTTGTTTTTGACAGTCCTGGGGCTTGAACTCAGGGCACTGTCCCTGAGCTTCTTTTGCTCAAGGCTAGCACTCTACCACTTGAACCACAGAACTACTTTCAACTTTTTCTGTGTATGTGGTACTGAGGAATTGAACCCAGGGTCTTCATGCATGCTAGGTAAGCACTTTGCCACTAAGCCACATTCCCAGCCCAGCATGTTTATTTTTTAAATGCACTATATGATCTATCTCTAGCTGAGGGAGAGTTTGTTGTTTTGTTTTGGGGTTTTTTGATTGGTGGTAGTGGGGGTTTTTTGTTTGTTGTTTGTTTTTTGTCAGTCATGGGGCCTGAACTCTGGGCCTGGGTGCTGTCCCTCAGCTCTTCAGCTCAAGGCTAGCCCTCTACCACTTGAGCCACAGTGCCACTTCCAGCTTTTTCTGCTATGTGGTGCTGAGGAATTGAACCCAGGGCCTCATGCATTCAAAGCAAGCACTCTACCACTGAGCTACCTTCCTAGCCCCTGAGGGAAAGGTATTTTTTTTTGTTTTTTTTTTTTGCCAGTCATGGACCTCAACTCTGGGCCTGGGCGCTGTCCCTTAGCTCTTCAGCTCAAGGCGAGCGCTCTACCGCTTGAGCCCCAGCACCACTTCTGGCTTTTTCTGTTTATGTGGTGCTGAGGAATCAAACCCAGGGCCTCATGCATGCAAGGCAAGCACTATACCACTGAGCCACCTTCCCAGCCCTGAGGGAAAGTTTTATACACTTAGTATCCTAAAAATATGCATAAGCTATATGTTACAAATATAAAGATGAATATGGATAATAACTCCAGTATTTACTAGCTAAATGACTAGCCAAACTACCTGTTTCCCTGAGTTTTTTAAAATAATCTGTAGGGTCAAGAGGATCAAAAGTCCAAGTCCTAACCCGAGACCTATAATCCTAGCTACTCAGGAGGCTGAAATATGAGGACCAACTTTGAAAGCCAGTCTAGGCTGGGAAGTCAATGAGACTCTTATCTCCAATTACTCACAGAATAAGCTGGAAGTGGTACTGTGGCTCAAATGGTAGAGTTCTAGACTTGAGCTCAGGGACAGCGCCCAGGCCCAGAGTTCAAGCCCCAGGACTAGCAAAAAAAAAAAAAAGTCAAGGTGAAAAAGCCAAGGTCCATCCTGTGCTACATAGTAAGACCCTGTCTCAAATGGGACCAAAAAAAAAAAAGGCATCTCATTTACTACGTGACATATATAATAGTCACTATTTATTTCCCATGTCCAATAAAATTACTTTTTATTGTTGTATTTTTAGTGATTATTAAAAAAGTCTTTAGATATATTATGCATCATCCCTGCCTCCTTTGTCATATATATATATATATGTTACATAAATGTCACAGTTTACCCAACTGGAACTCATGAAATAAAAAGAACCAAAATCAAGATGGAAGGAGTTGATTTTTTTTTTTTAATGCAGTCAAAGAACCTAAAGAAAAAAGAGTTTTAATAAACAAGGAATTATCAGAAGTGTAAAATACTGTAAAGAAGTCAAATGCTATGGGAAATAGAGCTCAGAGCTGAAATACAGATGAGAGTCAAGGAAAGGGAAAGCTCCTTGTGGACTCTTCTTGATGGGAAGAAGAGAAACAGCAGAAGAATGGAAGGTATAGGATGAAGGTTCTTCTCCTTCTTTTATCTTCTTCAACAGCGCTTTCTAAGTAATCTAGACTGGCTTTGAACTCATGATTTTCCTGCCTCGACCTCATGAGTACTGGGATTACAGCCATATACCCTGATGCCAGACTGGGAATTTTATTTTTAAAGATGAAACTCTAGCATTAAGTTTATACTTGTGAGGAAAAAGAAGTTAGATTAGAGGATGGCATTGGAAGCAGTAGTGAAGAAAGCATCACTAAGTAGGCAGGAAGGAATAAAATTAAAAGAATTAAACCTCTCTTAATATAAGAACAGCATGCAAGGGTGGAAAAAGTTTTATGTAGGTTAAGACAGGCATACGTCGTTCAGTGCATGCATGCACACACACATACACTTACCCATAAAATGAGGGTGTGATAGTGATAATACAGAGAATGAAGACTTAGAACGTAGATTGGAATTTAGATGAGCTACTGAGAGAATTAAAGGAAGAACTGATTGTGACAGGTGAAAAGTTTGTTCTACAACATATTTCCCAAAAACCTCATAGCAAAAAATAGCACACATTTGTTATCTGCCAGTTTTCATGAGTCAGAGACAGCCTGTTGGTCCCCTAGCTCAAGTCTCTCATTAGCTTACTTCTACAACATTAGTTGTATGACCTTGAACATTTAAATCTATCTTCAGTTTCTCTTCTATAAAACAGGGCCAACAGCAGTGTTCATACTGATTAGATTATGAGAATTAAATGAATTCATTTATGTAAAGTATTTAAAATGCATAATAAAAAGAGTGCTCAACATGAACTTGTATTAGCTATTATGTCATTACATTTTCTGTTTGTGGTTGAGTCTCACTTTGTTGTGTAGTCTGACTTCAAACTTTGTGTGTGTTATATATTAATGCCTTTATTTATTTTTTATTTATATTTATTTATTCATTTTTGTCAGTCATGGGGCCTGAACTCTGGGCCTGAGTGCTGTCCCGCAGCTCTTGAGCTCAAGGCTAGTGCCCTACCACTTGAGCTACAGTGCCACTTCCAGCTTTTTCTGCTTATATGGTGCTGAGGAATTGAACCCAGGGCCTCATGCATGCAAGGCAAGCGCTCTACCACTGAGCCACCTTCCCAGCCCCTTTATTTTTTTACAATAAAAGTTACTTTGCTAGGTCTTGGCTCTTTATTTATTTGTTATAAATATAAACATAGATTTAAGCCAAGTGCTGGTGGCTCACGCCTGTAATCCTAGCTACACAGGAGGCTGAGACCTGAGGATCATAGTTCAAAGCCAGCCCAGGCAGGAAAAGTCCGTGAGACTCCTATAAACCACAAGAAAACCAGATGTGGCACTGTGGCTCAAGTGGTAGAGCACTCACCTTGAGCTGAAGAGTTGAAGGACAGCTCCCATGCCCAGAGTTCAAGCCCCACGACTGACAAAAACAAAAACATAAATTTAAGCTTATATATTAAATATTTACCTCTTAAATATTTGCCAAAGTTCCTTCTTTCCTTCTTTTTTGCATTGGTGGGAAGAAACAAATCCAGGACTTCACACTACCACTGACATACATTATCTAGCCTGCCAGAGTGCCTAGCATCTGTCACTGTGTCTTATCTGCATCTTTTGTATATATGAAGAAAATGTTGCTAACCAAATGAAAGACAGCTTCACTCAGATATATAAAGCAGCAAATATGATCAGTTCTAATTATTTCTCTTCAGTTGATGGAGCACATCAAGAACTTGATGAAGTCAGTCTGCTTACTGCTATCACAGTGTTTATTTTGTCTACCACTCCAGAAGTAACTACCATCCCATGCCTTCAGAAACGTTGTATTGAGAAATTTAAAGCTACCCTTGAGACAAAAGATCCTATGGTAAGTATCTTTTAGCAGCCAGAGGATTATAATAGGAATGTATTTAGGATTTTACAAAACTTTTGTTTTGATTTTGTTGGCTTCCATGGGAAATATCCCACTACAGAGTTTTTTATTTTTAGATTGGTGAGCACCTATTCTTAGCATGACAAAGCTAAGTGGTAATGGAATTATTTTTCTGCCTTAAGAGTAGAGGGTAGTAGGAAAAAGAAAATATTTTTAAAACCTAATTTTAGCCAGGTGCCAGTGGCTCACGCCTCTAATCCTAGCTACTCAGGAGGCTGAGATCTGAGGATCATGGTTCAAAGCCAGCCCAACCAGGAAAGGCTGTGAGACTCTTATCTTCAATAAACCACTCAGAAAACTGGAAGTGGCACTGTGGCTCAACTGGTTGAGCGCTAACCTTGAGCTGAAGAGCTGAGGGACAGTGCCCAGGCCCAGAGTTCAAGCCCCACACCAACCAAAAAAAAAAACTAATTTTAAAGCAGGTGTCTTAAAGTTAATGTAACTAATATTTTTATTGATAACAGTTTCATTGAGCCAAGCACAGGTAGTTCACACCTGTAATCCTAGCTGCTCAGGAGACTGAGATTTGAGGATCAAGGTTCAAAGCCAGGCTGGACAGGAAAGTCCATTAACTCAAATTAACCACCATAAAGCTGGAAGAAGTGCTGTGGCTCATGCGGTAAAGTGAAAGCCTAGAGCACAAAAGCTCAGAAACAGTGCCCAGGCCCTGAGTTCAAAAAAAAAGAAAAAAAAAAAGTTAAAAAAATTTCATTGATATGAATCTAGAACAAGGTACTTTTATAAGATTCATTGTAGGCTGAGAATGTGGCTTAGTGGTAGAGTGCTTGCCTAACGTACATAAAGCCCTGGGTTCCATTCCTTAGTACAACATAAACAGAAAAGGCCAGAAGTAGAGCTGTAGCTCAAGTGGTAGAGTGCTAGCCTTGAGTAAAATAAAGCTCAGGGATGGTGCCAGGCCCTGAGTTCAATCCCCTGGGGGGGGGGGGGGGGGGGGAGGCTCATTGTAGATTAGATTCCGTAAAAAGAAAAGAAAGGAGACTAGGCACTGCTGGCTCACACCTGTCATCATAGTTACTCAGGAAGCTGAGACCTGGAGAATCCTGGTTCCAGAAAAATACATTAAAATCCATCTCCATTTAACCACCAAAATGCCATAGCTCAAGTGATAAGAGTACCAGCTGTGAGTGAAAAGGCCAAACACAATTCACTGAAGGGAAAGAAAGGAAAGAACATGCCTTCTATAATACGATCGTAAAACATGGAACCCTTCTAAAAGCAGTGCATACAAGTTCATTTGCTAGATTAATTTCCTTTTCTTTTATATGTTGCAACTGGAGTTTATAGCCCATCCTCACCGATGTATCTACTTGCAACATACAGGAGGCAAATTTACTGTCAAAAAAAAAGTAATAATGATCCAAATACCATCACAATTAACCCAATAAAAGATGATGTATGACTCTAGTCATCTTTTATTTTTCTGTTCCATTTGTTGTTTGCTGCCTACAGGCAGCAACTGGTTTTATATACTGGTTTCCTAGTGATAACTTTGGTATATGTTACTTAGTGTGGTTCATATATGGTTCCTTTACAAGTTTGTCTGTTTCATTTTTGAGTGCTTTTGTTGTTTTTCTGTTTTTGAATATTATACAATGGGCCATAATAGAGAAATTGGGAGGTAGAGAAATGAAGAAAAAATATCCACTCAGTAGTTATTCTCTTTCCCCATTATACCCACATGCCCCTATCCTACTGCAAACTGATATATCAGAAAGGAGTTTTAGGCCACAAGACCAGTTCTCAGCATTCCACATGTTAGGTTCAGACACTTATCCTGACATGCCAAATAAAGAGATTGGTAATGGTAAACAGCAGAGAAAGGCTAGTTATGTAGCACAGACATGCCAAAGGAAAGAGAAAAATAAGTACTTCAGCCATCTTCAAGGTACAGACAATAGTTTTAGGTTTAAATAGAGAAAGAATTGGGACAGTGGGTAAGAGTTAGTTATAGGTAAACAGTACCATAGCGTAGCCTGGTTGATCTTTATCTTCTGGTACTGAGAGGAATTCCAGAGAAGATATTATCGCTGTCATCACTTAGGGGAGCAGTCTGGGTCCCATGAGATGATTGCTCCAGATCCAGGATGCAACCTCAACATTATAGCTAATTGTTTTCATGTGGGCAATGATTTATCCTTTAAGACTATTGATCTCTTCTTGGGGAGTAGTACGTAGAGCTGAATTCTCATAAAGATATTAGCTGTCAGTCATATCCTCCCTGGACAGATAGAAAGTATAAATAAGGATGATAAGCTTTTGTCCTGCTTTTAGTTTGTTTGTGGGCCCAAATAAAGAGACCATGCTTTTTAGCTAAAGCAGTTTCTAGGTTATCTGTTTGTAAATACCTATTTTCTAATTCATACTTGGATTTCCAAAATTAGATATAAATTAGAAATCAGTTTAATATCTTTGCTACTTTAACTTCAGAGTCTTAAGGGACAATTATTTGTCTGTCTTTTATTTAAGAACTTTCTTTTAATTTATAGTTTATTCTTTTCTCCTTCCTGCTAGGTACAAATCAAGACATATCAGCTCCTACATTCCATTTTTCAGTATCCAAATCCAACTGTTTCCTACCCATACATTTATTCTTTAGCATCTTCTGTCGTGGAAAAACTTCAGGAAATAGACAAGAGAAAACCTGAAGACACTACTGAGCTTCAGATCTTTCAAGAAGGCATAAAGGTCCTGGAAACATTGGTTACTGTTGCTGAAGAACAATATCGTAAGTATCTGCATTAAATCCATAATCTCTCAGAATTTTTCCACAAACAGGCTTTGAATGTTATTTGAAAGATAGGTATTGATGGTCACAGTAGTGTGTGCTAAAGTTTCAAACACTCTGGAGGGAGAAGCAGAGTTTGAGGCCAGCCTGGGTAATGCAGCAAAATTCCATCTGAAAAAGTAAAGTAGGTGTCCTGTTAATCCCACACTAGTATTAATTTAAGAGAAAAGATGAAAATTGCTTTTTAAGGGAAAAACATATACAAGTCAAGTTGAATATTTATTTCCCTGAATTTACCTTTATTTACTTACTAGGCTCTCAGCTGGTGGCCTGTCTTCTGCCCATCCTCATCTCCTTCCTTTTGGATGAGAATGCTCTCGGATCCGCAACTTCAGCAATGAGAAATTTACATGACTTCGCTTTGCAAAATCTTATGCAGATTGGGCCTCAGTATTCATCAGTTTTTAAAAATGTAATGACTTCTACTCCATCCCTGAAAGCCCGCCTTGAGGCTGCCATAAAGGGTAATCATGAGAGTGTCAAAGTCAAGTTACCATCTTCTAAACATACTGTAAACCCTGGAAAGAATTCCAGCATCCAATTAAAAACCAATTTCCTCTGATTTTTTTTTTAGTAATCACCTTATATTAATATTTAATCGTTTCTTTTTCTTTGAGGACAAATATGAAATTATTGATTCAAGTGCACTTGAAGGGCTACTTGATTATTTTAACTTTAAGAGCTGTGACTTTACAAGCTGATAGCAAACACTATTTTTTGTAAGCTTTTTTTTTCCATTTAATAAGACCATAGAACTGTCAGGATACTTGCCAGGAATTTCAAGAGAGTACCAGAAACAAAATTTACCAAGCCATCCACTGCTTTAAAAGTGAAATAGATTTCTTCTAACAACTCATGTATACACACAGTATACTTTACTCTGTGAGAGATATAAATTTCAATCTAGTATAAATTACCTGCACTTATTTTGTATCCTTGTTGCTAATTTAAAACTCTGCCTTGTTCAGTAATAGCATTAAACTTGCTTGGATTTCTTAAGCAAGATAACTGATTGGGAAGCTATTGAGAAAACCTGGTCTAGAAATACCCAATATGTAGTGGTACAAATTAATTTCAACCCTACTTAAGATTTGGTGTCTACATCATAACTTTTCACCATCTTTTGAGTTACCATATATTGTGTTCACAAAATGAAAGTTTTACTTACTTTAAATAGAAGAGAACATCTCTAGTTCAATGTTTTTCAAGGGGATTTTCTGTTATCTCTGTTTCTAACAGTTTTGTTCATTTTCAGTTGTGGCAATTGTTTACCTATAGGTTAATAAGGATGCCAAATTTAGTACAATAAATTTAGATCATCAACGAATACAAATACTTTTTCAACATAAAACATTTTACTCTATAAAACTTCTAATGGAAAAGTCATACTAGTTGAATGGTATTTTTAGCTCTTCAATATCTTTAACTCTACTTTCATTTCAGTATTATACTCTGAATTAAACACTATGTCAAATAAGAGTTTTTCCCTGTTAAAAATGACAAAATTTAGTCAGGCACATTGGCTCACGCCTATAATCCTAGCTACTTAGGAACCTGAGATCTGAGTTTGAAGCCAGCCTGGCAAGAAAGACTGTGAAACTTCTCTCTAATTAACCACCAAAAAACCAGAAGTTGAGCTGTGGCTTAAGTGATAAGAGCACTAACCTTGAGCACAAAAGCTCAGGGACAGCACCCAGGCCCTGAGTTCAAGCCCCAGGACTAGCACACACAAAAAATGGACAAAACTTGAAGTGATGGCAGCATGTTCAGTTGAGAAGACACTTTGATTAAAGCAAAAGCAATGTAATGTATTCTATTGTATTATGTTTGTATATAATACTATTGTAAATTATGCAGATTGGAAACATTTGACAAATTCTAACAGTACAATCAATTTTTCTAAACTACATAAATAAAGCTAATTTTCTTTATTTTTCTTGTATTCTATTTCAAATTATCCAGAAAAAAAAAATGGCTGGTTAGTCTCGAAGTCAGTTCTTTGGAGTTAAGATACCTTTGTAACTTGGCCTTTTTTTCTTAGAGGAACCCTTTCTCTAGAACATTCTTTGCAATGGTTTAGAATGACTGTCTTCCTAATTATCTCTAAGATTTACATATATTTCTTTCTTTTTTTTTTTTTGAGGTGGGGGGGAGGGTTGGTCATGGGGCTTGAGCTCAGCATGGGCACCGTCCCTGAGCTCTTCAGCTCAAGGCAAGTGCTCTACCACTTGAACCACAGCACCACTTCGGTTTTCTGATGGTTAATTGGAGATAAAGAGTCTCATGGACTTCCTTACATAGGCTGGTTTTGAACTGCTATCCTCAGATCTCAGCCTCCTGAGTAGCTAGGATTACAGACGTGAGCCACCGCACCCAGCTTGAATATATTTCTTAGACTACCTTTTCTCTCCCTTATTCTATCTGGTGTGCACCTGCTCCTTTTATAACTGGCTTAAATGTCACTTCCCCTTGGTAACAACTTAATACTTCTTACCCTCATCTTACACTGAATGTAACTGCTTTCTACTTTGTGTTCTCTCCATCCTTAATACAGTCCTAAGTACATAAACATAACACTGCATTTTAATATAATCTTATTTACCTCTTTTACTGCTTCCTCAAGAAGAGACTGTTGATGCCAGGCGCCTGTGGCTCGTGCCTGTAATACTAGCTAATCAGGAGGCTGAGATCTGAGGATTGCAGTTCAAAGCCAGCCCAAGCAGGAACAGCTGTGAGATTCTTATCTCCAATTAACCACAGAAAACCAGAAGTGGCGCTGTGATAGAGCACTAGCCTTGAGCTGAATTGCTCAGGTACAGCACCCAGGCCCAGAGTTTGAGACACACACACACACACACACACACACACACACACACACACACACAACAACAACAAAAAAAAGACTATTGTCTTCTGTTACTTGTCCTGCTTAATAGCTGTTGCGTTGGGGTGGTATGAGATGGATCTGCATTCCTTTGCCAGGGTAAATGCTTGACTAAGTTGTTCTTTGAATATAGTTTGTAATTTTGACTCTTGGATGGTTTTGTGAGAGTTTTTATAATAATTGTTTCATTTCCTTGTTCTTTTTTTTTTTTTTGGGTCCGGTCGTGGGGCCTGAATTCTGGGCCTGGGCACTGTCCCTCAGCTCTTCAGCTCAAGGCTAGTGCTCTACCACTTGAGCCACAGAGCCACTTCCGGCTTTTTTCTTTTCACTTATGTGGTGCTGAGGAATCGAACCCAGGGCCTCATGCATGCAAGGCAAGCGCTCTACCACTGAGCCACCTTCCCAGCCCCTTTCATTTCCTTGTTCTTAAGACTAAGATTTTGCTGGGTGCCAGTGGCTCACACCTGAAATCCTAGCTACTCAGCCTCCTGGACTTTTCAGCCCTGGCAGAAAAGTCTCTGTGAGACTTTTATCTCCAATTAAACACTCAAAAAACGGAAGTAGAGCTATAGTTCAAATGGTAGCGCACTAGCCTTCAGCACAAAGAGGATCAGGGACAGTGCCCAGGCCCTGAGTTCAAGCCCTGCAACCGACCACCCCTACCCCCACCAAAAAGGACTAAGATTTCTAGTCATCACTTAGTGGCATAATATCCTGAGTTGTTTGGGCTTAAAGTGCTGTGTAGGAAAAAATATTACATCCAGTGTCATGAAATTAGAAACTTCGAGCTACACAGTATGCAACCTTAAATGCATCATCTTGTTTAATAACACTGGTTTAAATATGACCTGATGATAAAGAAGTATGAATGGAGATTTCCACCTGTCAGTCTGATTCTCACATCCATACTGAAGAGCATAAATGCTGAGGTCCCCACTCTATCAAGGGAAGGATGTTCTCTTCACTACATTAATTTCATTGTAATTTACTAGCTTATAATTCGGCCGCCATGTTAATTAACTTGGTAACCCTTTACAAATTAAACATATTGAGTAGCAACTTGAGTGATACAATCAGTGGTATACAATTGGAGTTTGGAAAAGAAATGCCTCCTAAAGGCTCCTGTGTTGAAGGCTTGATCCCCACGTGGTGGCGCTATTGAGAGGTGACTGGATGGTGAGTGAGGATGCTAATAGCCCATAGCTGAGTAGACTATTTTAGAAGGGGGGACTACATGAAGGAAGTGGATCACTAGGAATGTGCCTTTAACAGGTATATCTTATCTCTGAGTCCCTCCTGTCTTGCACCTTCCTTTCTGGGTGCCATGACATGAGCAGCTTTGCTTTCCCATCCATGATACTCCTGCTATGGTATTTCGCCTTGTCATAGGCTTTAAAGCAGTGGAGCCAAGTGACCATAGACTGAAACCTTGAGCCAAAATAAATCCTTCCTCTAGCTAGTTTTTCCCAGGTTGTCATTACTATGGAAAACCGATGCAATGTCTTGATCTACTTTTTCTAAAGAAAAGGGGAGGGGGGCACAATGCTACTATTAGATATTTAAAAAGAAAGCAGGGAGATGGGGAGGCATGCTAGTGGCTCATACATGTAATTCTAGGTATTCGGGAGGCTGCACAAAACTTGGATCACATAGATTTGTCAAAAGCTGAAGAAGCAAGGCAGGCTTTAGAGAAAAGATGCCCACACCTTCATTTAGAACTTTTAGCCTTCAGCACTGTGTAATAATACAGTTCAGTTGTACTGTTTGTTGTTTTTGTTTTGTAGTGCTGGGACTGAGAGCTTATTCAAGCTGAGCAAGTGCCCTACACTTCTACTTCCCGCTTGCTTCTGATGGGTGGCCACAGCACATTCTTTAAGCACCATCCAAATCAGGTGCTGGTGGCTCATGCCTGTAATCCTACCTCCACCAGAGATTGAAATCTGAGGATCATGGTTCAAAGCCAGCCCAGGCAGGAAAATCTGTGAGACTCTCAACTCCAATTAACTACCCCAAAACTGGAAGTGGGACTGTGACCCAAAGTGGTAGAGCACTGGCCTTGAGCAAAAAAAGAGCTCAGGCACAGCACCCGGGCGCTGAGTTCAAGCCCCATGACTGACAAAAAAAAAGGAAAAAAGTACCATCCAGATGTCAGCTCCCAGTCTAGGCTGTAGCTTAGAACAACTATAAGAGTACATAACTACTGCCTTCAGTAAGCTTACTGATTAACGACAGATATTTTCAAAGTAGGTCAACACAGCCTCTGTTCACCTGCATTTTTAGGGATTAGTCAGAAGAACAGGTAACCTGTTTCTGGTCACCAACAAGAAAAGGTGTGGCAGGATAGAAAAGTAGGTACCTGACTTCCATTTCTGGAGAACACCCATCTTAATGAGTGTCAAAACACCTTAGTCATTTCCATTTTGTTTATGCTACTCCCTGTCCAAGTGCCACTTCCTCTATCCCGTGAGTTACTATAATGGTCACTCTACCAAGTTTGTTCCAGAATTCTTGTTTACAGTTTTAACCTCAGCAAGTCATATTACTAGCTTTGCCTGTTCCTTCAAAAATATTGTGCCTCTCTCTTACAGAGAAGAGAATACAACACAATATAATCCTTAGTTAAAGGATCATAAAGACCTCTATATAAAAGACTAACTAGGTGCTTGGGGCTCATGCCTGGCTACTCCGGAGGCTGAGATCTGAGGATCACAGTCCAAAACAAGCCCAGGCAGGAAAATCCCATGACCAGTTAACAACTCAAAAAAAAGCCCGAAGTGGAGCTGTGGCTTAAGTGTACAGTACTGGCTTTGAGCACAAAAGCCAAGGGACAACACTCAGTCCCTTAGTGCCAACCTCAGGACCGGCACAAAGACGACAAATTCCTATGGAAGAATTTTTTTTTTTTGGGGGGTCCAGTCGTGGGCCTGATCTCTGGGCCTGGGCGCTGTCCCTCAGCTCTTCAGCTCAAGGCTAGCGCTCCACCACTTGAGCCACAGCGCCACTTCCGGCTTTTTTCTTTTTGCTTATGTGGTGCTGAGGAATGGAACCCAGGGCCTCATGCATTGCAAGGCAAGCGCTCTACCACTGAGCCACCTTCCCAGCCCCTGGAAGAATTTGTTCTACCTTACAAAATATTCAGTATCCAGAGGAGAAAACAGGGCACATGTCACACCTAGAAGGACAAAGCATAATGCTATGTTCTTGAAAGCCAGGACCATGAATGTCAGGAGATACCATTTTCTCATTCCATTATCCTACCAAGTGGGAGAGGGGTGTCTCCATGGTTCCTTTTCTTCCTTGTCAGAAGAATTATAATCTTTTCGCCATGCTTTTCCTCTGAGGACAGGAAAATGCTTCCTTCTCTTTGGTGTTTGTATCCCATACCATATTTCTTTGTGTTCTCTGTTGCAGTTTCACATCTTTGTGCCATTCTGTTTGTTTAACTGCTTCTGTTATTACTGAGCTTTCTGGCCCTTTGTTCTTGTCATTTTGTTCCAATTCTAAAGCAGAGACTCAATTTTACCATTGAAGCATGTGAAAAACGTATCCTTTGATTTCAAAAGCATCCAAAACACTATATATAAAGCACTATGGAGATAATAGAAAATTCTTACATAGAGCACTAAGCCCCAGCACCATTAGATCTGGATTGTGATCCTAGATCTGCCTCTGACAAATTG